ACTAAAAAGGTTAGTAAATTCATTACTTTAACTTGCGTCTCTTCTCGCTGAACAACAAGCGTTTTCTCAACTTACAATCCCTAAATAATATCGCTTGTAACAATTATCCTGAAAAATGAAGAAATGGGAAACTGAAAACAAATACAAGTACAAAGGAGATAGTGAAAATTATCAATAATTATTTATACTGGAAAAAAATGTAAGGCAAAGAGACAAAATGGACAGATAGGGGAAGACAAATGCATGCGTCGCAAACATGGACCCTTCGCCCCTGGAATTTCTATTGATATTTTATTGTCGTAGAACTAGACATTAGTCTATTCACTCGTTAACTGAAGAATTAAGATCAGAAAATTCAAGAGGAGGAGGTAAGAAGTGAAGTTTATGGGAATATGTAAAAAAAAGATAATAGTTAACTCTAGACTTGAAGAGGTTAAGATTGTAGTTATCAGGAAAGCATCCTCTCGGGAGTCTGTCTCACAAAGTAATGGTTCTTAACTGTCCTCTTACTAATGGAATACGAAGGGAATGGTTCGTGTCAGTATACGTGGCGTGGAGGGTTTTTAACTGTGATGGTAAGAACTGGTGGAACTAAGGAATGTAGTTCGTCAAAACAGTTGCGACAGAAACAGTCAGAGAGTAGCAAGAGTCTTGAGACTTTTCATTTGTGGGTGTTGCAGGGTGGAAAATATTCCATCGACGTAGACGGCTTTGAACTCTATCAAGACAGGAAAGTGACGACTGGGCAGCTCCAACGCAAATATGGCGGTAGTGATCTGTAAATGAAAGAGAAAGAATAATAGAAGAAAAATGGGAGAGAGAAAGGCACAGAAAGGTAAGCAGTTAGGCAAAAATAAAGGAAGAAGAGTAAAAAAGAAAAAAGAAAAGAAAGAATTGTGAGTTATAGAGAGAGGAAGAGAAAGAGAGAGAAAAAGGAAGATGTAAAATACAGAGGAAGAGAAAGAAAGGTGTTGTGTAGGAACCTACCACCCCTCTTGAAGATGAACTCGTCTACAAACAAGGACGTTAACTCGTGGCATGTCAAAAGACAGAGTCGAAGAAGTTCTGAGCTGAGTTAGTTATAGACTACTCAGGCGATATCTGTACCAACTTACCAACCTAATAAACCCCATTTTATTGTTACATGTTATTTGGCGTTTGTCTTTATTAACCCCAAATTAACATCATAACAAAAGGGGAAAATAGAAAGAGATCGAGAAAATAGAAAAAAGGGGGAAGAGAAAGATGGCATTAAAGAGAGAGAAAGAATGAAGAAATTAAATGAAATTGAAGGTGAGAGAGAGAAAGGAAAAGAGCAAGAAAGGAAAAGATAAAGTATCAAAAAGAAGGAAAGAAAAGCCGGGATGAGAAACAAAATGGGGAGTGAATCAAAAATGAGCTTTTGGGAGATAGAAAAATGAACAGGTGGGGGAAAAAGAAATAAAATGAACAAGTGGAGAGAAGAAAAACAAAATGAACAGGTGGGGGAAGTGAATCAAAATTGAATGGTGACGGGAAAGTGAAACATAATGGACAGGTAGGAAGAGAAACAAAATGGACAGGTGGAGGGAAGAGAAGCAAAATGGATAAGGGGGGGAGAAAAATATGAACAAGTTGGGGGGGGAAACAAAATGAACAGGTGAGGGGAAGAAAAAATGGACAGATGGGGCAAGAGAAACAAAATGGACAGGTGGGGTAAGAAAAAATGGACAGGTGTGTGGTAGAGAAACAGAAAGTACAGGTAGGGAGGAAGAGAGACAAAATGGACAGACGGGGAAAAGAGAGACAAAATATACACGTAGGGGAAGAGAAACAAAATGGATATTTGGGGGGAGAGAGACAAAATGGACAGGCGGGTGTAAAGGAAACAAAATGGAAAGATAGGAGGGAAGAGAGACAAAATGGACAGATAGGGGGAAAGAGACAAAATGGACAGATAGAGGGGAAGAGAGACAAAATGGACAGGCGGGGGTAAAGGAAACAAAATGGACAGATAGGGGGAAAAGAGACACAATGGACAGATAGGGGAAGACAAACGAAATAGATAGGTAAGGGGGAGTAAAATGGACAAGTGCGGGGGAAGAGAAACAAAATGGACAGGTGGGAGAATTGAAGCAAAATGGGTGAGCAAGAGAAGGAAAAAAAAGGAGAAAAGAGATAAGTGGCAGAGAAATTGGGAGAGAAGCAAGGGAACGCAGAAAGAGAAAAAAAAGAATGAAAGAGAAATAAACAGAGTGTAAAAAGTTAAAAAAAAAAACTTACGAATTTAACAGAATAAAAAAGAGAGGAAAATAAAATAAAAAAAAAGAAAGAAGAAAAATAGTAAATGACGAAGTGACCGTGCGTGATAAAACGAAACTACGTAACTGCGCAGATTGACTGTCACGTGGTCGCTGCGAGCGGGCAATAAATGGGTCGCCGGGTTTTCCCGGTTTTCCTCAGTCTGGAGCTGGGTCACAGACAATGTGGCGTCAGGTGAGAAAACTATCACCATTGCCAT